CTAACTCCAGGTCTTTGCATATTTTATTACAATACTTAACTCCAGGTCTTTGCATATTTTATTACAATACTTTACTTTGCCTTCTCAAGCCAATCCTTTGAAATCTGTTCAGCTCTTTTATTTCATCACTTATTCCGATTTCTTTAGCTACTCTCCATTCAAGAGCAAGTTCCAGAGTCTCTTCTGACATCTATCTTGGTATCTTCTTCCTGTCCTGTTTTTTTAATGACCTTTTGCTTTCTTCATGTATGATGTTCTTGATGGTGTCCCACAACACATTTTGTCTTCAGTCACTGGTGTTCAATGCATCAAATCTATTCTTCAGATGGTCTCTAAATTCAGGCAGATATAATCCAGGTTGTATTTTGGCTCCCGTGGACTCATTTTAATTATCTTTAAGTTCAACTTTGGGATTGGATAGCTTGTTAATAATGTAAATAAGGTACATGGCACACTTGTGTGAGTGGAACTCTGCAAATAAAGTTTATGGAACTGGAGGCTGTGATTCAAACAGAACAAGGGGATACTGCATAGTTTAAAATCAGGAAGGGAGTGCCTCAGGGTTGTACAGCCTTTTACCATATTTACTCAATCTGTATGCTGAGCAAATAATCTGAGAAGCTGGACTATATGAAGAAGAATGTGGCATCAGGATTGGAGGAAGACTCATTAACAACCTGTGACACACAGATGAAACAACCTTGCTTGCTGAAAGTGAACATGACTTGAAGCACTTAATGATAGAGATTAAAGACTACAGTCCGCACTATGGATTACATCTCAACCTAGAGAAAACAAAAATCCTCACAACTGGACCAATAAGCAGCATCATAACAAATGGAGAAAAGAATGAAGTTGTCAGAGATTTCATTTTCTTTGGATCCGCAATCAACACCAACAGAAGCAGCAGTCAAGAAATAGATGATGTATTACACTGCACAAATCTGCTGCAAAAGATCTTTTTAAAGTGCTGAAGAGCAAAGATATCTCTTTGAAGATTGAGGTGAGCCGATTCCAAGCCACAGTGTTCTTAATCGCTTCATATGCACATGAGAACTGGACAATGAATAAGGAAGAATGAAGAAGAGCTGATATGAATTTCCAGAAGAATAAATCTGTCCTGGAAGAAGTGCAGCCAGAATGCTCCTGGGAAGCAAGAATGGCCAGATTTTGTCTCACCTATTTTGTTCATGTTGTCCATGACCACTTGGTAAAGTGGAGGGTCAGCAAAAAAGGGGAAGGCCCTCAACGAAATGGACTGACACAGTGGCTGCAATGGGCTCAGGTATAGCAAGGATTGTGAGGCTGATGAAGGACTGGGTAGGGTTTTTTTCTGTTGTACACAGGGTTGCTATGAGGTGGAGCTAATTTGACACTACCTAACAACAACAAAAAACTGTGGGAATTGGTCACCTTTGCCATCCTGTTAGGCTTAAAAGGAGCCATACCAGATGCAGAAAGAGAGATCTCATTACCATTAAGGGAGAAGAACCAAGAGTGGAGCACATCCTTGGACCTAAGATCCTTATGCTGAGACAGTGGCAACAGAGCCAAGAAACTGCCATGAGATAGAGTGGCAGGCTTCCTTGCCCATGGAGTGAGAAAGTTAAGTGTCTTCAAGTAGGAGGCCTGCTGGCAGTGGAGTGTCTCACTGGGCACCTATCACAAGGCTAAAAAAGCTTTGTAACACGTGTTCAACCAGGGCAGAGGCTGAGGCCAGAGAGTAGTATACCTGTAGCAAGGTTGAGAAGAAGCTGTCCTACTGAAGAACTGTATCCTGAGCATTCCTGATCCTGAACTATAACCTGTTACTTCCCTATTTAAAAGCTATAATTGAGGGTACTATCTGTGAGTTTTGGTGGCCACTGCAAGTAAGTATCAAACTGAGCAGAGAAGTAGAGAGTGCAGTAGGAGGGACAGATGATGTCAGATTTGGCAAAAGAGTTAGAGGGTGATAGCATGTTTGACCTCCACCTCATAGGAACCAGCCTTGGGCTGCTGATACTCATCTTCATTTCCTGTCCCTCTTGTGAAGTCAGAGGAGGTCAGATGTCACTGCCACCAGGTCCTTTTTTGCAGTACATAACACAGACCCCCACATGCAAACATTCTCTTCCAAATTACGTAAGGTACATCCAAGATTTTAAGGAAGTCCCTATTTTTATTTCTAGCTTTTGTTCTAGTCAGTATGTTGCTAATCTTTCATTAAAAGCCGGTACATTGCATGGTCACTTACATTTTTCATTTCAAGTCTTCTTTAGTAAAATGACTTGGCTCTTATAAAGATTATAGCCTTAGAAACCTTATGGGGTAGTTGTACTTTGTCCTATAGGACAAAGACACTGAATAGACTTGATAGTACACAATATAACAGTAAGAATTCATGATTTATAATTATGAATTTTAAGCACATAAGATTAGGCTACAATAAATGTTACATATTAGTAATACTCTCAATACTATGATTGTCCATGAGGTTGGATTATGAAGAATTGAAAAGGATGCTGTGGTAGTTATGTTTGTATGTCAGCTTGGCTGGGCTTGGCTGAGTGGCTGGGCAGCTGGTGGTAGTTATTCCCCATGATGAGACTGGCAATCAACTCCATGGTGGGATCTACCACAAGAAGCTGAGTAGCTGTCTTTGGGATGTGGTCTACTTCCTGTATATAAGGAGAAGCCTTGGGAATGGTCTCTAGCCTATGGCATGCTTGGACCCTGCATGTAGCTATGTCACTGCTCAGCAGCCTGCTATGCTCTGCCAATCTTGGGACTTACAGTGGACTTAAGTTAATGGCCTGCCGTGTGGTTTGGTAACATCGGGACTGTGCCTTTTTACTTGTCAACCTTGGGGTTTCTCAGTCTCAGCAGCCAGCAGCTGTCTGAGTGAAGAAAAGCCTCTAGCTCCAGTGGGCCGGGAGCAGGAGGCGGAGCTGGACCCCAAAGTTGAGGGGCTTTTACCCAGCTCCTAGAGCCTGGCACTTTAAACTTGGACTTGTTGTTGTTGTTAGGTGCCATCGAGTCGTTTCCGACTCATAGTGACCCCATGCACAGCAGAACGAAACACTGCCCGATCCCGCACCTTAAAGCCTCCAAATTGTAAGAATAAACTCCTGTTTGTTAAGGCTATCCCTTTTGTGGTATATTTCTTGTCAGAGTGGCACTAGGTAACCAGAACAGATGCTTACAATACACTTTTAAGAACATGAAAGAATGCCAATGTTATACTCTCAAGTGTTAACTGAAACCTGAATTGTATGTATACGCTGACCAGATATTTAAAATATGTAAGTGTGTGTAGAGAAATCTTGGACGCATATTTTCTGAAATGTAAAAGTGACTTAAGAGATTGGTGACTTTCATTACCTTTTTATTTTTTCACAGTTTGCAAATTTTCTGCAAAGAAAACAACTCACTTGTATAATTTAACAAAAAAAAGCCTCACCAAATTGAAAGGAATACTCAGGTCCATGACTCTAGCTAAGACCAATCACAAAATAACTGTGATATAATGGTAGTAATAGTAGTTAACACTGGAATGCCCACTATTTGCCAGGCATTGTTCTAGGGTCTTCGTAAGTACTGACAAAATTAACCCTCACAACAACCTTAGAAGGTACTTACTACGATTCTCCATTTAACAGACAGAAAACTCTTGACTAGCAGAGTAATTTTAACTACTTTTGTAGTTGAAAACATTTACTGAAGTCTCAGTTGCTGTTTTGTAAGTCAATTTATAAGGAATACAATAATAAAAGTTCCCCATGTATTTTAAGCAACACATCTCTCAGCAAATTCATTAGCTGAACCTCATCACTTATGTAGTCAGAAATGGGGGGCCCCCAAACCCAACCCAACCCCCTTTTGTCAAGTTGATTACAGACTCATAGTGATCCCATAGGGCAGACTAGAACTGCCATATAGGGTTTCCATGGCTGTAAATCTTTACAGAGGGAGACTGCCACATCTTTCTCCTGCAGAGCGGCTGGTGGGTTAGAAATGCTGACTTTCTGATTACTAGCCAAGTGCTCTAAGCACTGTACCATCAATGCTTCTGGGAGTCCCAGAATTAGGAATTAAGGTAATCCTCAAGTTTAAAATTAGAATAAGCCTAATAGGTAAGGTATAGAATGAATGATCTGTGAAATTAATTATTCTTTAGTATTAGACTATAAATTCTATCCAAGTTTATTTCTACCTCATCACTATTCCACAGAGTTGGTTCTCATGAGTTATCTGCTGAAGGAAGAAACGCAGGTACAATAATCTACTAATAGGTAACTGACAGATTATGGAACCTGGATGTAATTTCAATGAAGTGTATCAGTATAAGCGTATCCCAGATTTAAAATCCAAAACAGCTGTATTGTACATCTATTCCTAGTCTTAGGAAAGGAGACAAATCAATTAGAACCTAAGGAAAAAAAAAAGCTAAAAATTAAAATTTATTTAGGGGCCTTTCATTATCTTCAGGGTGTAACTGGGCTGGACTGGTTGGTAGGTTTCATCCTATAAGGGGATTATCACATATTGATGAAACTAACCATGAAGTGCCTTAACTTCCTTTATTCTAATGACATATGCACCTAAGAATATTCCCACTACATTTTAGCTTCCTAGTTAGGCTGCCTATAGGCAAAGATAGGTTGATCAGCTAATATGACTTCAGTGTTTCATTTAGTAGATAATTATACTTTCAAAAAAAAAAAAATAATAATAATTAATGGGCATTCTAGCCCCTTGTAAGACTGACATGAAGTAATGCCCAAACAGCTAATCAAATCTATTACCACACTCAAAAAACTGAATTTTAAGGCAGGTAAAGCTAAGGATCAGACTAAGGTATGTGATAACATGTACTTTGGGAAATCTTATAGGGAGGCAGCTAATCTTCTGAGGTATCTCCAGCTAGGGACAATGAAGAACTGCAATAGTGTCCAGAAACATAAACATATTTACAACTTATTCAGTTATCCATTTAAATAAAATAGTATTTGGAATACCTTCAGAAAGTTCACTAGTTCTAGATATCTGCTCCAGCTCCCAGCCAAGATGTAATGATTCATCCATACTTTGCTTCTGTGCCATTTCCAAAGTCATATTTTCTTCCATTAATTCTTCTATCTTTTTTCTATCCATATCACGTTCCTTTTTATTGGCATGAGTACAGGGAGTGGGGACAAAAAATAAAGCTAAGAAATAGTATAATTTCAAGCTAATATTTTATTGCTTAGAACACTTATTTATCAAAAACTAATTAATATAAGAATAAAATTTATATTCCTTAAAAACTGCATAGTTTGAAGGCAATAATCAGTAATTACAATTATTGTTACTGATCATTAGGTGTCTGGCATCTGGTTAAAGTGATCTTGAGGACACTGTGAAAACTCTCCTTCAAAATCAATATATTATTTTGGTGATAAAATGAAAAAATTCTAACTCACCATTTTTAACAAATAGGTTTATTTTTGTACAAATTATGTTTACACAATAGCTTATTAATTGTGTTTTTTTAATGGTTGTTGTTGTTGTTGTTATGTGCCGTCGAGTCCGACCCGACTCATAGCGACCCCTCCTTGGGTTTCCGAGGCAGTATCACTACGGAAGTAGATTGCCCCATCTTCCTTCCGAGGAGTGGCTGATGGATTTGAACCGCCAGCCTTCTGGTTAGCAGTCAAGTGCCTTAGCCACTATGCTACCAGAGCTCCCTTTTAATGGTAGAAGACAAAATTAGTAAGTAATATCCTTCTGTAAAAAAAGCAGGAATTTCTACTACTCCTGTATTTATATAGTTTGAAGTGTCTAACTTATTTAGCTATCTCCTCTTTGTTAGAGCTTGAAGGACACCAGCCATCCTGGTAATTATAGGGAAATCAGCTTAATCTTAGAATTTCTCCTTAGAGGCCATATAAAATGACTGACCTCATAATACTTACCATCTCCATATCATGCAGTTTAGCCTTTAGTTGTAAATTCTCCTTTTCTAATTCATGTAACTTATCAGAACGAGCTCGATTTCCTTCTATTTGGTCTTCCAGCATGGTTTTCGTTTCCAATAAAACTTGATTGTCTTCTTTTAATTCCTATGAACATTTCAAATAGGCCTATTTATCACAAATGTCTTACTGTATGTCAATTTTTTAAAGCTCTGGAACATAAAAAAATTCTTTATGATAAAATAAAACACTCAGCTGTCTTTATCAACCTTCTATGCAAGAGTAAAGCTTCTAAGTAATAGAACTACAGTCAGTGCTTCCTTCGTTTTATTTAAGATTGTAAGCAATTGCGTAAACAAAACACATAGTACTTATGTTAACATGTATACTATTACTGTAAGTTCACAGGAAATTGTCAGTTTCTTAGTCACAATGATAAATAAGCATATATAGTTGTTCAGATTTTTAAGACATAAATCTCCATAAAATCAGAGTTTAATACACTGACCCAAATAGGCTTAAAGATTTCTTCTTACTTGGAGTTATAACTTGAAGAAAGAAGAGTGTGGGGTTTTTAGTAAAACAACAAAACTTAAACAAAGATTCACATAAATCATACACCAAGACTCTATCAATAAGTACTTTACATAAGCATCTTGAGAAAATGCTTAAAATCTCCACATATTTAAGACTTGTATTCACAAACCTATCAAAAGTCAAGATAAAGTATATTAAGAGAGGATAAGGAATATTAAGACAATGGCATCTATGAGGATCTCTAAACAATGCCATGCATATATGTTTAAATAATTGGCAAAGAATTTATATGCACTTTACCTTAGCAATCTACTGGGGCTATTTTTGGTAATGATCATGCTAAAATGGTCTAACTACTTTCTCTTTCAATGTTCCCATTTCTTACTTTTACATATTCCTTCCCTGTTATCCACATATTGAAAAAGAATCTCATATTTACAGAAAATGAGGAAATTTACTGAGAAAGGAAAAAGGATGCAAGGATTATTGAATTCTCTCCGTCAAACTCAACTTTATACAACACTAAACTGCAAACATCAAGTAGGAAGTTCTTTTCTGATTTATTTACATATAAAGAGCTCTGGTGGCACAGTGCCTAAGGTTCAAACTTATCAGGTTCAGACTTACAAGGTTCAAACTTACAAGCTGCTCCATGGAAGGAAGACGGGCAATCTATTTCCATAAAAACTTACTACCTCAGAAACCCAGTAAGGGTCACTATCAATCAGTATTGACTTGACGGCATTGAGTTTTTTTGGTATATATATATATATGTTGTTGTTGTTGTTGTTGTTGTTGTTGTTGTGTGCCATCAAGTCGGACTAGACTCAGAGTGACCCCTCTTTGGGTTTCCGAGGCGATATCACTATGGCAGTAGATAGCCCAACCTTGCTTCCGAGGAGTGGCTAGTGGGGTATATGTATGTATGTATATATACCAAAAAAACCTCAATGCCATAGACACACACACATACATACATATAAAAACCAAACCAAACTTACTGCCATCGAGTCGGATGTGACTCATAGCAACCCCTCTTTGGGTTTCTGAGGCAGTATCACTGCGGAGGTAGATTGCCCAATCTTCCTTCCAAGGAGTAGATGGAGAGTTTGAACTGCCAGCCTTCTGGTTAGCAGTCAAATGCCTTAGACACTACACCACCAGAGCTATATTATATGTTTATGCATATGGAGCTCTGGTGGGGCAGTGGTTAAAGCATTCAGCTACTAACTAAAAGGCTGGTGCTTTGAACCTACCAGCCACTCTGTGGGAGATAAAATGAGGAAATCTGCCTTCATAAAGATTTACAACCTTGGAAACTCTACTCTGACTCAAAAGAAAACAACATACAAGTGAATGTGAACTCATCTGGGACTAGGATTTTCTTTGTTATGTCAATGAGGCCATATTCATGTAGGGTGTATCTTAAACTTACTCACTTTTGAGATATGAAAGGAAGAGATTAGGCATAAAAAAAGCAAGAATGAATGGGGAATATAGATTCCACATGGATAGCTCCAAGAAATGCTAAGAAGTTGAGGCAAGGATCTCCCCGCCCCCCCTGAGTAGACAGACAGTAGCTTCCTTTAGAGCTGGCGCCCTAAAATTGGATTTCTAGCCTCCTAAATTGTGAAAAAGAGGGAGCTCTGGTGGTTCAAACCCACCAGCAACAACTCCTTGGAAAGAAGATTGGGCAATCTACTTCCATAGAGATACCTCCTCAGAAACCCAAAGAGGGGTCACCATGAGCTGGAATCAACTTGACAGCAGTGAGTTTGGTTAATTGTGAAAATAAATTTCTGCTCATTAAAACCACCCACTTGTCATATTTCTGTTATATGAGAACTAGATAACTAAACATTGTTCTATCATAAAAGAAACACCCAGAGGTATTTACTGTTGGCTCAACATTTCAAGAGCTCCTCACATTTATTAAATACCTTCTTAATGCATTTTGAAACTAATACTTTCAAAAAAAAATTTGTAACTGTTTAAATAATACAACATACCTCAACTCTTGCCTTATAAAATTCAATATCATGTAACCTCTCTTTGTATCTGCTGACTTCACTTTCAAGCTTATCAACTCTGATTGCCTTCTCTCGAAGTGCATCTAATTCATCTCGGTACATTCTGGCAGAACGAGCATCCGAAAGCAAATTCATGTTCTAAACATAAATAAACATAAAAAGTTAACGTATTATTTTCTATTTCCAAAAAAGTATTCCTTGGATGCAAAACTAGATAAATTTACCAAAATAAAGAAATAAATAAAAATAAATGAGTTGTATACATTAAATGGGTGAATTATATGGTATATAATTATACCTCAGTCACAAAAGGAAAAATATTATTCGATTCTGCTTTTATGAAATATCTGAAACAGACAAATGTACAAAGACCAATTTTTATTAGTGGTTATTAGGGATGGAAAGAAGGGGTAAAGATGGAATCATTGCTTGGGGGACACTAAGCTTCTGCTGTTAAAGGTAATGGAAAAATTTGAAAATGGATAGTGGTGATGGTTGTACAATATAATGAAGGTAATTAATGTTACTTCACTGAATTGTACATGAAAAAGATGTTGAAATGACAAATTTTTGGCTTTATCTAAATAAATATACTCACCATAATAAAAAAAAAAGTTTTCTTTAATACAAAGCCTTTTTTTGAAAGAATATAAAGTATTTTAAACATACATATACAGATAAATTTTTTTATAATGTGCTGTATCAAGAAGGTAAAAAATATTCAAGGTATTTTTAAGTTAATGCTACTGAACATAATCAGTTTCAAGCAAATTAAGTTGACAAAGTTATCTTTAAAATACAGGATAATTATAAAAAACAGAAGAGGCAAGCTGCGTCATTAAATGTATCATTACTTTAGAGAAGTATTCTACCCAGATATATTGCAACATACCAAAATTTTGTTGGTATTTTCAAATGCTTTCAGGTAAAACGATCAGTGTATATCTTAATACCATTTGAGACAAAAATTAAAATCCAAATTTTTAAAAGTCTTCTTGTCATCCCTTTATAGTAGCCAAGTGTGCTCCAGGGACTTGTGAGGGTTCCTGAAATCCTTTCAGGGAACTAATGAGGTCCAAACTATTTTCATAATAACACTGAGCCATTATTTGCCTGTTTCATTCTTATTCTCTCGTAAGGGCACAATGGAGTTTTCCAGAGGCTACATGTCACAACAGACTAAATTCAGAAACATATAGGAGAATAGCTGCCTTATTAAACCAAGGATTAAAGAAATTTGCAAAAATGTAAAATGGTACCACTCTTAATTTTTTTTTTTTTAAATAATGGCTATTTAGTTAAAATGCTTTTTGTGTTAACATGTAATGACTGACTATTATTTTTAAATGAATTAGGAAATAATTTTTCTAAAAAAATTATTAGTTTTAAATTTGAATACTGGCAAACACCCGCAGACATAAACTACATAAGCTACATAAGCAATTCTCATTAATTTTTTAAGAGTGGAAAGGGCTCTTAAGACCAAAAAGTCTGAAAACCACTGTTTTAAAAGGAATATACATAAAAACTACTGTCAAGAAGCAGAATAGCAGTCACAGCGTATCTAGAAATAACTCCAAGTCTCATTAATCTAGGAAAATTTCAGGTGTATGATCCTCAAGTGGAATATTTCCTGCATTTAAACATGGTAGGTTAGGAAAAATAAAGGGAAGAAATAATTGTACAACCTTACTATTTACAGGTTAAAGAAAAGCTTACGCCATACCCCCAAATGAAAACAAAACATTACAAAATGATTAACAGAAGTTAAATTATTTTTCAAGATGAAAAAATACAAAGTTTCGGTGAAATAAAAAGAAATACAATTTTAAAAATGTAAAATGTTTTGATCTTATTTAAAAGTAAAAGAGTGAAACATCAGAAAAGCATTATCATACATAAGCTAATATAAAGAATCATCAGAAAGCAGAGACACACATATTTAGGAGTGTACAGTGAAAGTATCCCAGATTCCAAGGCCACAGAAGCCAAATACACACAAAAAAAGAGAAACTTCGAACATCTCCAGTCTTAAGAGGCTCCTGTGAATCTTAGTATACTTTGAATAAGGAGCCCTGGTGGTGCAAAGGTTGAGCACTTGGCTGCTAACTAAAAGGCTTGCAGTTTAAAGCCAGCCAACCACTCCGTGGAAGAAAGTCCGGGCAATCTTTTGCCATAAAGATAACAGCCAGAAAACCCTATGGGGATAGTTCTCCTCTGTCATATAGGGTTACTATGAGTTGAAAGGGAGCTCTGGTGGCATAGTGCCTAAGGCATTTGACTGCTAACCAGAAGGCTGGTGCTTCAAACCCACCAGCCACTCTTCAGAAGGAAGACTAGGCAATCTACTTCCATAGAGATATACTGCCTCGGAAACCCAAGGAGAGGTCGCTATGAGTCGGATTCGACTCAACGGCAGTGAGTGAGTTTTTTTTTTTTTTGTTTGGGATGAGTTGAAAATTGATTTGATGGTCCCTAACAAACAAAGTCTGAAAACCAATGATACAGAAAAAAAGTCCAACAACCTTGATTTCCAGTTTTGGCTGTTATTTTTTAAGAGACACTGAAAAGTCATTCTACCTCTTTAAGCTCTATAACCTCATTTGTTACATATGGCATTAAGGTAAAGGTTATAAATTACAAGGAGAAAAATCAATCCTAATTACTTGGGTGATCTAGTATAAAAAAGCTCCAGGTACAAACCTCTTGTTGCAGCCTTTTAAGTTCTATTTCCATTTGTTCAAGTTCTTGTTTACAGTCCAGTAATTGTTCAGTCTTTTCCTCCCTTAAATGCAAAAATTTATTAAAAAAAACAAGCTTACTACTTTTGAAAACTTTGATCATCTGCATTGATACAAATGTATTATTATTACCAAATATCTAGAAGAACATAATATTATCCATATATTATTAAACATATATATCTATACATGTTCTCCAATCACAAAGGCTTTCATGTTTCAACACTGTTAGTTTTTCATACTGTATATGTACAGCTTACTCATTATATAACATCAGAAACAGAAATATATACATAGACTTCTGTGATGGTCTCCAACCAGAAAACTCACGTTTGCTTATAAGACTATGAACTGGCAGAAACTGTAAGTAATCAGAAAGTTACTTAGACAATGCCTAACATCAGAAATTGATAAATAGAAGAATGTGGTAAACAACTTCTAGATGACTGGAATTGCATCCATGTGCATGATGAAGAAATTGTAACTCATAATTAGACAGGGGATCTCTAAATTATCAAAAAAATTTGAAATATGTCACAATGACGTAATATATAGTAAAACTTCCCTAAATTTGTTTCTCGCATACATGTTATGATAGAAACTTCAATAAAACTGGCTTGGTACATATGCAGTATGATAAAGGAGCTTTGACATGAAATTGTATGTGTGTAAGGTGGCCTTCTACCACTCATCTGTCAGTTTGTCATACTGTAGTGGCTTGCATGTTGTTGTGAAGCTGGAGGCTATGCCATCTGTATTTCAGATTGCAGCAGGGTCACCCATGGTGAACAGGTTTCAGCAGAGCTTCCAGCCTAAGACAGACTGGGAAGAAGGAAGGGGCTATCTACTTCTGAAAAAAATTGGCCAGTGAAAACCTTATGAATAGAAGTAAAACACCATCTGATGTATTACTGGAAAACTATTAATAGCTCTGAAACACTGTCTGACTTAATACTGGAAGACGAGCCCCTCAGGTTGAAAGACACTCCAAGTATGACTGGAAAAGAACTGCCTTCTCAAAGTAGACTCGACCTTGATGACACAAATGGAGTAAAGCTTTCAGGACCTTAATTTGCCAAAGGGGCACAACTCAAAATGGGAAGAAACAGCTGCAAATATCCATCAATAATTAGAACATGGAATGTACAAAGTATGAGTCTTGGAAAACTGGAAGGTGTCAAAAATGAGAGGGAACACATAAAGATTGATATCCTAGGCATTAGTGAGCTGAAATGCACTGGTTCTGACCATTTTGACTCAGATAATCAAACAATCTACTATGCTGAGAGTAACAAATTAAAGAGGAATGGTGCCACATTCATCATCAAAAAGAATTTATCAAGATCTATCCTGATGTACAATGCTATCAGTGATAGGATAACGTCCATATACCTAAAAGGAAGACCAGTTAATACTAATATTATTCAAATTTACTCACCAACCACAGAAGCCAAAGATGAAGAAACTGAAGATTTTTACCAATTTCTGCAGTCTGAAATTGACCAAACATGCAATCAAGATGTACTGATTATTACTGGTGATTGGAATGTGAAAGTTGGAAACACAGAATATCACTGGTACTTGGAAAATATGGCCTTGGTGACAGAAATGACACCAGAGAACATGGGATAGAATTCTTCAAGACCGATGACTTAATTGCAAATACCTTTTTCATCAACATAAACAGTGGCTCCACATATGGACCTCAGGACCTCGCCTGATGGAATATAGAGGAATCATATCAACTACATCTGTGGCAGAAGGCAATGGAGAAGTTCAGCATCTTCAGCTAAAACAAGGCGAGAAGCTCACTGTGGAACAGATTATCAATTGCTCATATGTAAATTCAAGCTGAAGCTGAAGAAAATTAAAACAAGTCCACAGGAGCCAAAATATGTCCTTGATTATATCCCATCATACTTTAGAGACCATCTGAAGAACAGACTTGATGCACTGAACACCAATCACCACAGACAAGACCAGTTGTAGAATGACATCAAGAATATCATACCTAGAACAAAGTAGAAGGTTTCACACTCCCAGATCTCAAAACCTACTATACAGCCACAGTAGTCAAAAATGCCTGGTATTTGTACAATGAAAAACACATAGACCAATGGAATAGAATTGAGAACCCAGAAGTAGATCCATTGACCTATGATTAGCTGATCTTTGACAAAGACCAAAATCCATTAAATGGGGAAGAGATTGTCTGTTTAACAAATGGTGCTGACAAAACTGGATATTCATTTGCAGGAAAATGAAACAAGATCTGTACCTCATACCATAAACAATAACTCCAGATAGATCAAAGACTTCAAAGTGAAACCAAAAATTATAAAGTTCCTCAAGAAAAAACTAGGGGCAAATTTAGGGGCCCTAATGTATGGCATAAATAGACTATCAAGCATAACCCAAAATGTACAAACAGCAGAAGAGAAACTAGATGAATGGGACCTTCTCAAAATTAAATGCTCATGTGCTTCCAAAGACTTCTCCAAAAGAGTCAAAAGAGAACCTGCAGATTGGGAAAAAATATTTGGCAATGAATGACATACCTGATAAGGGACTTATCTCTAGAATTTGGAAAAAACTCCAACACCTCAACAACAAAAAGATAAATAATCCAGTTAAAAAATGAGCAAAAGACATGAATAGACACTTCACCAAAGAGGATATTCGGGTGGCCAACAAACATATGAAAAAATGCTCATGATCATTGGCTATTAGAGAGATGCAAATCCAAACAACAATGAGATACCATCTTGCCCCAAGCACTAGTAGCAAAAGTTCAACAAGACAGAAAACACCAAATGCTGGTAAGGATGCAATGTTTTTTTTTGTTTGTTTGTTTTGGTGAGGATGTAGAGAGATTGGGATTCTCATACACTGCTGGTGGGACTGTAAAATGATACAACCACTGTGGAAAGCAGTATGGCGATTCCTTCAAAAGTTGGAATTAGAAATACCATTTGACCCAGCCATTCCATTACTAGGTATATATCCTAAAGAAGTGAAGGCCATGACAAGAACAGACATATGCACACCCATGTTCATCGCAGCACTATTTACAATAGCCAAAACATGGCAACAACCCAGGTGTCCATCAACTGAGGAATGGATAACCAAACTATGGTACATACACACAATGGAATACTATGCAACCCTAAAGAGTAATGAAGAATCTGCAAAACACTGCATAAGGTAGATGAACTTGGAGAAGATTATGTTGAGTGAAATAAGTGAATCACAGAAGGACAAATATTGTATTAGTCCATTAATGTAAAAGTCAAGGAAAGGTTTATATGTGGAAGGAAAGTTTCTTTGTTGGTTACTAGGGGCGGGAGGGAAGGAGAGGGAATACTGTTAGATAGATAGAGACAAGTATTGATTTGGGTGAAGAGAAGGGCAATGTACTAAACGTGAGTGATCCACACTCACATTTCTTCTTGAGGAAGAAGATGACATAGAGGTACATGGGAGGTACAGACAAGAAAGATGAACCCTTTTGCACATACAGTATTATGCAGTCAGTGAAAGCAAACATGGATATATGGGTGGATAGATGGGTGGACAGGCTGAACTATTTAGGTATGTCTATGCATGGGGGAGTGTGCCCAGGACCATGTATAGGATTGGCAGAAAATGTTTGTACAAGTGTATTGCTATGTTCTGTAAGAATCTCCAGGTATATAGTAGAGCTGACAAGGGACAAGGTTGTAGTCATTTCTTGGCCACAGCCAACTACTCAGAGAGAGTGAGGAGTTGGACCTGTGGGCTCGGGACCATAGTTGCAGGAGACATCAAACTCAATTGGCATTAACATACTACACAAAACATTGTTCTGCATTCTGCTTTGGTGAGCAGCAAATGGGATCTTAAAAGCTTGCAAGCAGCCATCTAGATGCAACGATGGGTCTCTCCTCATCCAGAGCAAAGAAGAATGAAGAAAACCAAAGATTCGTGGAAACAATTAGTCCAAGTGACTGGAACACCATGTGATTCTCAGCCTATACGACTATGAGACCAGAAGAACCAGATGGTGCCCAGCTACCAGTGTCAACCACTTGGAGAGGGATCTATGTGAGAGATCCTGGATAGACAGGGAGAACAATGTGAACAAAACTCAAAATTATTTGGGAAAAAAAAAGAGAAAAGGTTTGCTGGTCTGGTAGAGCCTGATGGAACCACTGAGACTATGGCTCCTAGTTGCCCTTCAGGTCTAGAATCGAACCCACTTCTGTGGCTTCCACCCAAACAAAAGATAGGCATATGAGCTGAACATTTACACTAGGCAGATTTACTCCTTGGAGAGAACATTCATGGGAGAATAGAAGGGCTATGTATGTACAGGGAGAAAGCTCAGGGGACAGGAGTGCATGGACGGAAGGACACAGGGAAGAGGTAACTACAGGGAGGAAATGGGAGGGGAGCTGTTGCATTGTGGTAAATTGTAGTCAATGCATGAGACAAAGTGTATGGAAGTTGCTGTGTGGAAAGCGAACATGTTCTGTAAACTTTCACCCAAATCACAATTAAAAAAAAAAAAAAAAAGATCATACCTGACCTGCAAATGGTCATTAAAAAGATAGGAAAGGAAGAAAAGACCAAAATAGATGTCAGAACAGGCTCTGAAATGTGGTGTTAAACAGAGAGGAGCTAAAGTGAATGCAAGAAAAAAGAACCAAACAGAAGACTTCAAAGGGCAGCTCAAAAAGACAAAGTATTATAATAAAATGTGCAAAGACCTGGAATTAGAAAACCAAGAGAAAAGAATACACTCAGCATTTCTCAAGCTGAGAGAACTGAAGAAAAAATTCAAACCTTGAGTTGCCATACTGAAGAATTCTGTGGGCAAAATATTGAATGATACAGGAAGCATCAAAAGAAGATAGATAGGAATACACAAGTCATTGTACCAAAAAGTACTGGTCAATGTTCAACTATTTCAGGAGGTAGCATATATAAGATTAACAACCAGTGGTACTGAAGAAAGAAATCCAACCTGCACTAAAGGAACTCGCAAAAAACAAGCCTTCAGGAA